AATGAGACAGCAAATACATAAAAGTTGGCAAATTCTTCAAATCTCCCAATGCCGCTGAGGTTATTCCAAACATAGTGACCCCCTATAGAGCAAAATAGAACTGTCCCTGTGGGTTTTCCAGGGTTTAATCTCGACAGGAGCAGAAAGCTCCATGTTCCTCCTGCAGGATAGCTTATAGGTTTGAAATGCTGACTTCTCAGTTAGCAGTTCAACATGTGCACTCTGCAGCCAGGCTCCTTCAGCAAGCCATGGAATGAGGAGGACACAGAATACCGAGTTGATACAGTATACTACCTAAAATGTCCAGGTCTAGCAACAACTGTGCTCATACTCATTATACTGATAAACAAATGCAAAGAAACAGGCAAATTTGACCCCCTACACAACTGGGAGAAAAGGCAATAGAAATTTTACTCAAGGGAGCTCAGATACTATGCTTAGTAGAAAAAGATATCAAAGTAGATATAAATAAATTCAGAGAAACGGGCACAATGTTTGAAGAGCTAAAAAAGTGTCTCTGATTAAGAATAAAATTTGAAAAGAAAAACACAAGTAATAAAAAGGAAGGATAATGTCTTAAAAAGCTAAGAAATTGCCATGTCGATCAGATACAATGAATAGATGTTGATTACATCCTCATTTGACATAATGACCTCATGAAGAGGATTCAAAACAGTCGTAGGAAGACTTTCAACTAGATGGCCAACTAGGTAGACATGCTGCTCCATAGCCTGTCTGTAATAAAAGCGTGGGAATCTACCTGAGACACATATAAATGATCATCCTAGGACCCTAAGCTTCCGAGAAAAGAATAGAGAACTGGAAGGAAAACTGAGTAGAAGCATTCAAATGACATCATCTAGAAAAGAAAAAGGTGGGTGAATTGTCAGCTGGCCAGATTAGCTGTGGACACAGGAAGCTCTGCCTGCTAGGGACTGATTGATAGTGACCTTACAGGACAGAGTAGAACTGCCTCTGTGAGTTTCTGAGACTGTAACTCTTTATGGGAGTAGAAAGCCCTGTCTTTCTCTCATTGATCAGCTGGTGGTTTTGAACTGCTGACCTTGCAGTTAACAGCACCACCAGAAGTCATCAACTGGCTATCAGAGAGTTTGGTTTTTGGTTTAGCATAAAACCCACTAGAGATGGATAACAAGAAAGGTAGGGTCCTCCCTTTCCCCCATATACTCGTGGTGATGTGAGGAAGAGCGTCTCCAAGTCCATTCATCCAATAGCCAGTGACACACCCTGGTTAGCTCCTGCGCTGTCGGAGGTCAAGTTGTATCCTGTGGACAGGCTTCTGGTATACCACCCCACATCTGAAGGCTTATGAGCTCCCCCTCATCAAAACAGCAAAGGGTGCAGTGCCAACATGTGGCTTATTGCTACTTACACTGTGTGGGCAATAACTGGTTCCTCTTCTACAATCACATACTTGGCCCTCAGGGACCCTCAGGCCTGGAAGAATAGTACCTTTCCAGGAACAAGCACCCTAACCTTTGCCACCATCTGAGCCTGCACTAACTACTTCCCAATCAGGTCCTCAAATAGCCTACTTTGTCCACCTAAGTCAGTTTCTCACCCCCCTACCTCTAGGCCCCTCATCTCCTACCTCATGAGTTCCTTGGCTGTGCCAACCCCAGCCCTCCACATCACATTTTCCCCTGCTCTGGGTCCTGCCCCTGCCCTCTATCTCCTTTTCTGTAATTTCTATTCTTCCTTTCTCTGCTTCTTTTTCTATTCAATGCCCCCTTTTGTTTTTGTTTTGTGCTTTCTATTTTTCCACCTTAGTTGAGATGACTGTTTTTTCCTTCTCTTTTCTTTTTCTTTATCCTGGGGCTTCAATTCCTTTCCTTTTTTCTTTTTAGCTATTAAATTATTTTTGCTTTTGTCTGTTTTCCTGCTTCTCGTTGCTTACAAATATTTAAAATATATTTTTTGTCTCGCTAGATTTCAGAGAATAACCATGTGCACCTCACCAATAAGAGAGAGGCTATCAAAAATGATGGAGGCAGGGCAAGGCATTGAGGGATCTATAAGAGTTAAAGGCAAGAGAGATAAATACAATTATGTACAAAATCCTGCCATAGGGGTGACCCATGAGTAGATGTTTTGCTTGGAAAGATATGCCCCCTGAACAAGTTTAGTGGGTGTGTTCTCAAGTATATATAGAATTGACAAAATATATTTCTATATGTGTATTTACCTTTACTATCATTTTGGTAAAGCATACAGGGCGTAGTGTTATGTAAACGTCTTAGATATACCCAATCACTTTGAGAAGATGAGTCATTGTACCTAGGGGATCAATACTATAGTCTTAAGGGACACCAAGAACAATTGGCTTGATGTAGTTCACAGAGACAGTGGTCTACATCCTACGCTGGTGAGTAACCACTGGGATTTTAAAGCTTGTGAGCAGCCACGAAAGGTGTAAGTATATATCTCTCCCTATATGAAAGAAAAAATAGTGTTTAAATTCAAAAATCACATGGAAAAAATTAGTCCAGTGGACAGATGGACCACTCAAACATCAGTGTTCACAACCATGCAGACCGGAAGAACTAGACACTCTCCGGCTACCACTATGGACTGCTCTGAAAAGAATCATATTTTCAGTAGGTCTTAGAGAGAGTCAGAGAAAAATGTGGAAAAGAACTCAAAGTTATAAAAGATACCAGGCTTATTGTATGGAAAGAGGTTGGTGGTACCCTTATGACTATTGTCCTTGCCACTCTTTAAGGTCAAGAAATGAATTTTCTGGAGCTTATCAAAAAGGCTGTATTTAACCAAGGGCCAAATTCAGAGGATAAAAAAGGAGGAATGGAAGTAGGCATAAGAGGGAAGAAGTTGAATAAATGATGGAAAGTTGAGGGGATTGCAATGGGCAACTTGAAACAATATGTGTATGAATTTTGAATATGACATTGATTATCTATTCTGAAAACATCATCTGATGCCCAATAAAAAGGTTTTATAAAAAAAAGGTACAAAAAATTATGGAAAAACTTCATCTTCTTTTAATTCCATATTCCACAAATATTTAAAACCTTTTTGTACAATACAAATGAAACACATTGTGGAATAAGAGTCAAAGTTTCAAAAGTTTGATCATGGTATCTTACTTAAATGTAGATTAACTTTGTTGGTGATTGAAATTGAAGAATTGATATGAGACTCATAATGTTTTAAAATTATTTCTAGTGATTTTCTGCAGCAAAACAATACAGAAATAAATTGAGGAACCATAAGTGGCAGATAATAAATACATGGAAAATGTTGACATTGGTTGACCTTAGAGGATGCTCATGTTCAATATACTAATATTCTAACTTTCTCCTGTAGATAGCTTACTGAATATTAGTAAACTATCATGGTGAAAATAATAGTAAATGGTTGCATAGAACTGGACATTCTTTTATTGTCAAAGGTACACCATGATTTTTGTTGTTGTTGTTGTTAGTAGACAGATATAACTCTTCAGGAATAGAATTGCTACAAACGGGCTTGGTATTATAAATTATTAGCACACTCTGGTAGAATGCAAAAAGGAAGTACCAAACGTTGTGCAAGTGTTCTAGCAGAAAACCATTCTCATTGGAAAGTCTGGGTCTCTGAGTGCTGACAGCAGTGAGAAAGCAAGGTGAAACCCTTATAGTCCTTGCCCTACTCAGTGACCAGCTGCTTCCCAGGGTGAGTCCTCACCTAAAACCCTTAGTGTTATCTAGTTCCTGCTGACCCCTTTTAAATTGAATTTTATCATGAAGGTTTCCTGTCCTTGCAGAATTGGGAATATGTTTCTATTAACTATTACATGATCACAGCACACCACAAAGACAAGATACAACTAAATACAGAGGTCAATGCAAATTCTTGCTACTATGATCTAAAAGTAGAAACATGTTGTTGTTAGATGTTGCCCACTCTATTTTGAATCATAATGACCTCATATGACAGAGTAGAAGTTCCGGTAGAGTTTACTTGCCGGTGATCTTCACAGAGGCAGATTGCCTGCTCTTTCTGCCATGAATATTCTGGGTGAGATCACATTGACAATGATGTAATCAGTAGGCTGCTTGTAACCAATTTTGGTGTCAGAACTCCTTAACCCAAGCATAGTTACTAGATTACTTTATTGAATTTTTTGCCTTTACCATTTATTATTTAAATTTTCAGAGCTTGTAGTGTTTTATATATATATAATTTGTATGGCGTTTATGCATGACACATATATATTATATATCCTAGTCAATTTAATTGTTCTTATAATTGATTTGAATTAGTAAGTGGGTTAGACATCTTTTAGGAGATTACACACCTGACCTTCTGTGGCATATTTTCTATAGAGAAATAAATCCCCAAACCAAATTCACCACCATCGAGTCAATTCCAACTCATAATGATCCCATAGGACAGAGTAGGATTGCCCCTGAGGGTTTCTAAGACTATCACTCATGAGGGGAGTAGAGAGGCTGGTCTTCCTCACGTGTAGTGTCTGGTGGTTTCCATGTGCTTCCCTTGCAGTTAGCAGTGCATGACCAGGGCTCCCATAGTTAATACTGTGGGCTGGTAAACCAAAGAGCGAAAGAAAATCAAATTCACTGCCATTGAGTTGATTCCAACTCAATATGATCTTAAAAGCAGGGTAGACCTGTCCCTGTGGCTTTCTGAGATTGCGCCTTTGCCCGAACCAGACAGCCTCCACTTTTCCTAGAGGAGCAGATGGCTGCTCCAAACTGCTGATCTGGAAACCATGACATGAAACAATTGTTTGTACTCAGCTGCCATCATTGGTCTGGCTTAGCTTGTTTCTTCGTGCTTGTCATGTAATATTATTTTGAAGATGGAAATCACAAGAGACCTTACTTTCTCTGAAATTAGCGTCTCAGGAAGTCTCTGACACTCTTGAAAATTCTGAGCGTTAGGAAAGTGATGGACCAAAGTAGGCCTTGAAATAAGGGCCTCCAATTTCTTACAGAGTGTGCTCTAGGAAACAAACACACGGTTTATCAAATTTTAATAAGTTGGTACCAGGGTCAGGTATTTGTCTCAGAGATTATAATCCACTTCGATGTAATTTCCAATGTATGGATAAAATGATGTGACAGTTATAAAATTATGGAGAAAATTCGATTATAATTATACGAAATTCAGGAAATGTAACAATTTGATTAGATGAATGTACTTCAGGCACAGCATTAACCACAGCGGGGATACGTTAGTTTCCCTTCATGACAAGTTGCTCGAAAACTGGCTCTTGGTGTCAATTCCTTATATCCCCATTTACATTTAAATTCAATAATATCATGTGTTTCAGAATAAAATTTCTTAGAGGATTTCCATTTTAACTGTATGTTATGTCTTTCCATCTCGCTTTCTGATATTACACACGCTTCTGAAAATAGAACAAACAAACATAAAAACTGTTAGCCTGCCAAAAATATATTTTTGTAGACTTTCAAGTTTAAAAACAGCGTTGAATAATGACTTAGGTATTCTTTCCTGAAGTGTTTTCTGTCTGTGAGAAATTATCAAGTACATTTTCATATGGTGACAATGATAACCCTAAATAGCTCATTGCAATCAAACCAATTCTGAGTTGTTCAGTGGAATCTAACCCCATGTGTTAACTGAAAAAAAATTGCATTATAGTGCTTCTTGTGTATAAGTTTAATAGAGTGAGATTGTCAGGCCTTTCTTCTGTAGTTCTGCTTAGGGGGCTCAAACTGTCAACCCTCGGGTTAGTAGATGAATGCCAACCATTAGTGCCACCCAGAGACTTGAAAACTGGTCAATAATACAAAAATGATACATCATGCTTAATGAGCAGCAATTAGATCATATATCAGAGAATCAGAGGGTCAATTGTTTTAATAAGAGTTTTGTATTAAAGAAATATTAATATTTGTTTAAGTAAGAATTTATAAAACTTCAAGTCTTTACATATTAACATTGAAAATCCCTAGAAAGCAGTTCTATTCTGTGTTGCATGAGTGAGAATTGGCTCTGTGGCAAACGTTTTGCTTTATTAATATGTAGAAGGAAGCTATTCAACACAACTCTGTTTGCTAGTTTGTGATGTTATATCATATGTAGCAAAACATAATATTATTATTCTGATATATCCTGGATCAAAGGAAACACTGAGGTACTCACCTAAACATCTTGGTGGTTGTGACCACCGTCCATTTACACATGTAATTTGTTGGTTACCCTGAAGTGCATAGAAGGCCTGGCATTGATACTGAACTGATGATCCTGGAGCATATTCTTTTTGTGGGAACGAAGTTGTGTCTCCATTTTCAATAGCAGGAGGAGGTCCACATTTTCCTGTAGGATCTAATATACACACGCATATAAATGTATATATTTTGATTTACTGAAAAATTAAGTCACTGTTGATTTACTTGTGGAAAATAGAAATTAAGCATAATGTGCAATATCAAGATTTTTGTGACTGCTCAGGAAACAAATTTGTCATTGAAGAAACTCAAGTCATATAAATTGAGGGCTACTTTAAAACACTTAGAAAGCATTCACAAATATAACTGTTCTGCAGAATCAACTTTTTTCTTCACAAAATATTAACCAAGATAAATGATGGCCATTTTTAATTCTGTCTAAAAAATACTACAATGTCCATTGGTTCTTACCTTTAAAACATTTTTCTTTTCAAAGGAACATCAACGCCTTGAAAATCTTCAAGGAATTGAAATGCACATTTGAACTTTACAGGAAAACTCCCTGGCATCAAGTGGATTTCTGAAACTCTTTGATCTTTGGATCACACAGGTTGGTGTGCTGCTTCATGAGGACTTAGTTGACTGTCCACTTAGACGGTTGCTTGTTTTGAGAGACTCCAGAGGCTATAAGTTAGGATGACCAAACACCATCTAGTTTCTTCCCTGCATTGGCACCCATGTATTCAGTGATCTCTTCCTTCATGGTGGGGAGTACAAGGCAGGGCCATGCTGTATGAACTAATTTTTATTATATTTGTGCTGTGGTCAAGTGGAAATGCATCATCTAGTCTTGTAACTGATGTTTTTATAAGTCACCAAACTTAATCTGTATGCTGCACAAAATCTGGCTTAATTGAAGAATAAAGTGGCATCACAGTTGGAGGAAGATGTATTAACAACCTGTGATACATAGATGATACACAACTTGCTTGTTGAAAATGAGGAGTCGAAGCACGTGCTGATACAGCTTAAGAATTGCAGCCTTCAGTATAGATCATAATTTAATACAAAGAAAACAAAAAACCCCTCAACTACATAAATAGTAACATCATAATAAATGAAGAAAAGATTCAAGTGGTCAAGATTTTGTCTTGCTTGGGTCCAGCCAGAAAGAGATCAAATGACCTCTTTGTATTGGGTAAATCTTCCACCCGACACCTCTTTTAAGTGTTCATAAGCAAGAATGTTACACTGAGGACTGACATATGTCTGACCCAAGCCATGGTATTTTCAATCGCTTCATATTGGGAGTGAGTCTGGTTTTTAGAGTTTTCATAGGCATATGAAAGTTGGACATTGAATAAGGAAGCCCAAAGAAGAACCAATGCCTTTGAATTGTGGAGTTGGAGAAGAATATTGACAGTACCATAGACTGTCAAAAGGACAAGCAGATCTGTCTTGGAAGAAGTACAGCCAGTATGCTCCTTTGAGACTAGGTAGGTGAGACTTCATCTCATGGACTTTGGACATGTAATCAGGAGAGATTAAACTCTGGCAAAGGCCATCATGCTTGCTAAGGGGTCAGCGAAAAGGAAGGGGTCAATCAACATGATTGATTGATACAGTGGCTGTACCAAGGGACTCAAACAAAAATAGCAACAATTATGAGCATAGTGCAGGGCAGAGTATTGTTTACTTCTGTGAATCCAAGACATATTATATGAAAAAAGAGAAGATAAAGCAATGTGGGATTTTTGAGATTCGAAGAATAATATAAAACCAAAGAGACTCCCCTGCCATCAATTGGATTCCGACTGAGACTCTGCATTGGGTGTGTGAGGCTGTACGTCTCAGAGCACATCGCCTCATCCTGCTCTCGCAGATGGACTGCTGGCTGGCTAGGACCTGCGAAGCTGCACTTAGCACTTCAATGTTGACCAGCTAGCACCACCAGCACTCAAAGGACCATATCGTGGTGAGTTATTTGGCTTTTCTTTGTGTCTCCTGGATATCCTGGATTTAGCACTGAAGAAAACAACAATGCACGACTGATGTCCTTTTCAGACAAGATGATTTTGATAAAAACCTACATTCTTTAACTAAAGACTCTGGGTAGGAGCATTCTGGAAGAGAAGTTTGGTTCAAAATCCACCAACTGTTCTACCAAAGGAAAATGAGCTGTTTGTGTCCGTAAAAATTTATAACCTTAGAAAGTTTACATGGGGTTCCTATGAGAGGAAGTCCATTCAACGGCAGTGGGTTTGGTTAGGTTGATTTAATTGGTCCAAATCTACAAGATTACCACCGGAAGACTAAAGATCATTTCCTTTTCCTCCCCCAGGAGTGTGAGAGCCCTGAGGAGTTTATTTACACTTCTAATCACAAGCAGGGCTGACAAGGCACCTATCTTCTTTCCATGGTGTCAGTGACGCCATGTGGTGAGCCTAGGTACTACCACACGGTGGCAATGGAGGTCTTTTAAAGTATCAGATTTAAGTAATCATGCTTTTGGAAACATAACACCCCAAAGTGCTGGATACATTTGAAAACCACTCCTAGTGTCCAGAATTGGGAAAATCCGAAAAGAGGAAACACAACCATCAGATTGCCAACACTCAGATGATTTAGACGTTGAAATTAGTTGACAACTTTTAAAATTTAAGGGGGATGCTGAACCTGAAAAAATGATAGTGTAGTTAATTTTTATTATTTATTTATTTAATCATTTTATTGGGGCTCGTACAGCTCTTATCACAGCCCACACATCCATACATTGTGTCAAGCACATTTGTACATTTGTTGCCATCAACATTTTCAAAAGACTTTCTTCCTACCTGAGCCATTGGTATCAGCTTCTCTTCATCCAACTCCCTCAAGAACTCTTGATAAATTATACATTATTACTATTTTTTCATGTCTTAACTGACCTATGTCTCCCTTCATCCACTTTTCTGTTGTCCATCCACCTGGGAGGGAGTTATATGTAGATCATTGTGATCAGTTCCCCCTTTCTCCCCCTCCCCTCCCCTTCCCCTCCTGGTATGGTTACTCTCAATATTGGTCCTGAGGGGTTTATCTGTCCTGGATTCCCGGTGTTTCCAGCTCATATTTGTACCCGTGTACAGGCTCTGTCTAGCCAGATTTGTAAGGTAGAATTGGGGTCATGATAGTGGGCAGGAGCGGGGGGAGAGGGAGAATTAAATAATTAGAGGAAAGTTGTATGTTTCATCAGTGCTATAGTGCACCCTGACTGACTTGTATCCTCCCAGTGACCCTTCTGTAAGGGGATGTCCAGTTGCCTATAGATGGTCTCCACTCTGCACTCCCCCTCATTCACAATGATAGGATTTTTTCTTCTGGGTCTTTGATGCCTGATACCTGATACTATTAACACCTCCTGGTCACACAGGCTGGTGTGCTTCTTCCATGTGGACTTTGTTGCTTCTCTGCTAGATGGTCGCTTGTTTATCTTCAAGCCTTTAAGACCCCAGATGCTCTATCTTTTGATAGCCAGGCACCATCAACTTTCTTCACCACATTTGCTTATGGACCGACTTGTCTTCAGTGATTGTGTCGGGAAGGTGAGCATCATGGAATGCCAGGTTAATAGAACAAAGTGTTCTTGCATTGAGGGAGTACTTGAGTCGAGGTCCAATGTCCATCTGCTACCTTAATTCTTAACATATAGATATAACTACATAGATCTATTTCCCTATCATTATATATAAATATATTTACATATGTACATGCCTGTATTTAGACCTCTATAAATGTCCTTGCCTCTATTTCCTTTACTTTCCTCTTGTCCCACTGTCATGTTCAGCCTTCCTTCGGGTTTAGTAATTCCTTGCTGTTACATTGCTCTTGGTTAAGCCCTTCTCTCCATTAATTTTATTTCACTTGTTGTTCCCTTTTCCCTGGGTTGGTTGACCCCCACTTCCATTCTCCAACCTCCCTTTCTCCTGTGTCCACATAATTAATTTTTAATTCATTGAGTATGCTTAAAATTGATTCAAACGCTGATGATAAAATAATGCAAATGTCCAATTAAAAATATAATAAAAACAAAGAGAAACAGAGTTTCAGGTTTCTGTGGAAGAAAAAAGATTTGGAGTTCCAAAAAAAGAGAAATGTGTGAAGCTGAAAAAAAGTTCAAATATAATAGCTATTTTCCCGCCAAATTATTCCTAAAGCATACACTTGCATATTTAGAAAGCTGAACGAATTCCAATCAAATTAAACCCACAGAGATTTGCATCAAGATATTATAATCAAATAATGGGAAGACAAACGATGAGAAGAGACTCTTGGGAGTAGTTAGACAGGATGCAGAAAGCTGTCTGCTCCCTTAAGGATTTACCATCTCGAATAACCCTGTACATGGTTGCAGTGAGTCAGTATCACCTGGTTCACAGTGGGGCATGAGACAGAAGGTTTCAAATGACAGTGGGTTTCTGATCTGCATCTATGAATATCAGAAGGTAGTGATAAAACATTTTTCAAATTCAGAATGAAAAGAAATGTCTACCACAAATATCTAATACCATCCCAGGCCCAGTGGAGTAGTGAAGACATTGTAAAAGACAAGTGAGAGAACTTGTCTCCAGAAAGACTATATTCAGTAAATAGTGAAGTTAATTTCATATTACAAGAGAACTCAAAAAAAGAAATAGAAGTAGAAAACAATGGGGGGCGAGATTAAAAATCATAAGGGTAAACATAATAGACAAATGTTGAAGAAATAATATATTTTACCTTTGCAGTAAGGTGGTTCAGTCCAGGTTCCATTTATACACATCACTTCTATGTCTCCATATAGTTCGTAAGGTTCATTACATTCATAGCGCACTGTCTCTCCAGGGGTATACTTTATCATTGGTTTTGAGATAATCTTACCATTTTCTACCTCAGGAGGGTTCCCACAGGAAACCTCTAAATAGAAAGAAAAAAAAGACTGTCCATTTGTGTTCGCTTTGAGTAGCAAATCAATAAACAAGATTTTGAATATGTTTCGAAAGAGGTTTTGAAATCAGTAGAAAATTTATAATAAAGTTTGCTAAGATTAAGAAATGTACATGGAAATGCGCTTGACACAATGGACGTATGTCTGGATTGTGATCAGAGCTGGAAGGGCCCCAGTAAAATGATTTTTTAAACATGAAAGAAAGAAATGTACACGGAAGATGTAAGAAAATTAATTTAAAAATTCTGTAGTAACATAAAGTTTCACAGCCTTCAGATGGAGATGGGTAATTGGACTTCTAAGGGCAATAGCAACAGTGTGCTAGTTCATGAATCCTAGAAAAATTTCAAGATTAGGATAAATGTGGGATGAAGAGTGTAGGAAGCCTCAGTGTCATATCACCACTATAAAGCCATCCACATGAAACCAAACCATCAGCCTTTACTGAAAAGCAAAGATGGAAAGACAGAGGGACAGGGAACCGGAAGTACCAGAAGTAGAACAACCATAATGCACTTCATCCAGTGTTGACATATTGTGGAAAGTGTGACTAATGTCACTGAACAAAGTGTGTAGAGTTTGTCAAATGAGAACCTAGTTCACTTTGTAAACTTCCATTTAAAATGCAATAAAATATTATTAAAATGCGTTGTTGTTGCTTTAGGACAAATTTGTGGTTACTTTAGATGGCAGTCATACATAGAAAACTAATGCAATGACTTAAGATTTATATCATGGCAATCTTTCTTTGTTACTTTTATTTATTTCTTCATTGCAGTACTTTATTACAGCATTGACAAAGGTCAACTTTTGAAGCTGGTGAAGAATGGGCAGTATTTCCTTGTGAGATCTTATTGCTTTACCACATTTTTCTTATTTAAGTCTACGTGCACAAACTGAAAGGTGATAAATGACAATGCAAAATAACTATAAAACATGTAATCATGGTGCAGCATGCAGATGTCTTCTTTACCTAAATTTACTGTCTATTTTGGAAAGATGAAAGGCAATTTTTACTGGAATTGTTTTTTTGTCTTATCAAGAGAGAGATTGACTTTGGAAGACATAGGGCAGGCAACACACGGGATTTTTGTTAGACGCTTCTGGAGGAAGAAAGCATCACCCAGCCAGTATGGCCAGAATGCGCTTTCTTCCCCTCAGCAGCTGTGTCAAGCATTTTAAAGGAGATTCTCTCTGGAAAGTTCATCTGAACTTCCATCAGGGTCGCAAGGGGTTCTGGGAAACACCCTCCCTAGGGAGAGAGGTCGTCATGGTGGAGATTCTGAGCATGCTCTGTGCAGCTTTCCACATGGCTCTGTCGCCCTGTCTTAAGATATGACAGAATAATAATTTATAAATTATCAAGGGCTCATGAGGGAGGCGGGAGCGGGGAGGAAGGGGAAAAATGAGGACCTGATGCCAGGGGCTTAAGTAGAGACCAAATGTGTTGAGAATGATGAGGGCAATGAATGTACAAATGTGCTTTACACAATTGATGTATGTATGGATTGAGATAAGAGTAGTATGAGCCCCCAATAAAACGATTTTAAAAAATGAGTAAAGCAAAAAGAACCCCAAAAAACCAAACAAACAATTGATGTATGGACTGCTATAAGAGCTGTAAGAGCCCCCAATAAAATGATTTGTTATATTTAAATAAATGTAATAACATTTTGAAACATTAAATAAACTATAAATGAACAGATTGTTAGAAACAAACTAACATCTTTCAATTCCATTTGGTGGGGAAGGCATTGGTTAAAACAAAACAAAGAAATCAAACTAAACGCTCTGCTTATTTCCATACTTAGTTCAGAGACAGAAACTGGACACCCAGGAGGGTAAATCATCTGTTGATGCCCTTGTCCTTCAGTCGTTCTCCATCACGTGCTGTCTGGCAGCTCTGCACCTGTTTTCAGCTGATCATGGCACCATTTCTTAACGTGCCATTGTGGGATACAGTTCTGCTCTGCAGTTTTCCTTCCACTATTCCATCCAGTTAATGACAGTGTATAAACATATAATCCTTGATTTTTCAACCATGCATGTCTCAGACACAATATTTATCTCTGAATTCTGCAAGCATTTTTCAGTGAAACATCAGAATTTTATATTTCATTCAGCTTGGAAACTATTGAAAATATGTTTATGTTACATTTATATTTAATTTTTTACAAGCAAATGGGAACTTATTTTAAAAATTTATGATGAAGGATATTCCAGGTAAAGTTAGTTCACTGGTATCTTATATTTAATAACTGAGGGTCAAAGAATAGTATTTAGAGCTGGTAGACTATTTTACAAAACGTATATATGGGAAAAAATTGGGCTTTTTACACCATAAAAAGTTACAGTCTTGGAAATGCACAGGGGAAATTCTACCTTTTTTTAAAGGGTCACCATGAGTCAGCACCCACTTGATGACAGATAGATATATAGATGTCACCACAACAATGCTCAAAGAAAACTGGCTTATTATAATTTTTTAAAGCAGAAAAAAATATCTTATTGTATAATGCTTATTTATGTCTCATTTTTTTAAATCATTTTAGTCATTTCATCTCCTTCAAGGTCTTCCTCTTTTATCTGACTTTCAAATTTACCAAGTATGATGTCATTTTTCCAAGAACTAATTTTTTTTTCTACTAATAACTGGTCCAAAATATGTGCGGTCAAGTTTTCCAGTCTTTACTTCTAAAAGTATGTTGGCTATATTTCTTCCAACTCTGATTTGTTTGCTCTTCTGACAGTATCCGTGGCAATTTCTACAGTCTTTGCTAGAATAGGTAAACTCATTTATTCATGGACACAGAGGTAATCTTTCTTAATATCACTGATGAAGTACAGTGGGCCTGAAACCATATAGACATTCCAGGGTTCCTGGATCCATCATCCATCACAGGTTAGACACTATTCTTCTGAATATTTGCATTTTGAAATGTTAAAATGCCTGGCATCCTATTTTTACTCAGCATTTGAATTGGAGGAAGACTCATCAACAACCAGTGATATGCAGTGGACACAGCTTTGCTTGCTGAAAGTCAGAGGACTTGAAGCAGTTACTGGTGATCAAGACTGCAGCCTTCAGTGTGGATTTCAATTCATTGTGAAGTAAGCAAAACTACTAATAACTATAACAATAAAGAACATTACGATAAATTGAGAAATGATTGAAGTTTTCAAGGATTTTATTCTATCTGCAATCAGTTCTCATGAAAGCAGGAGTGAAGAAATCAATCGACACAGCGCCTTGGTAAAATCTGCTACACAAGATCTCTGTAAAGTGATAAAGATGTCATTTTAACGACTAAGGTGCACCTGACTCAAGCTGTGGTTTTCTCAGTCACTTCCTGTGCATATGAAAGCTGAACAAGGATTATGGTGTGGGTGAATAACGGTGAGAGATTAATGGAATTCCAAAGAAATAACTATCTGTCTTGAAGGAAGTACAGCTCGAGTACTCCCTGGAAGCAGAAATACCGAGACTTCATCTCACAGACTTTATATATTCTGTCATGAGGAATCAGTTCCTAGAGAAGGAAATCATGTTTGCTAAGGAAAAGGGTCATCAGAAAAGAAGGTTTTCCTCAATAAGATGAATTGAGACAGTGGCTGAAAGAATGGGCTAAAACCTAACAGATTTGAGGATGGCACATGACCAGGCACTGTCTTGTTCTATTGTGCACGGGTTGCTATGAGTAGGAACCACCTTGATAGTATGTAGAACAGCAACAAAAACAAAACTATGTTAACACACCAAGACTCAACTAATGATCTGTCTTACTATGGTGGTTGGAATGTTGCTTTGATGCAGGAATCCATGTCAATGGTATTTTACATACCAACAGGATGATGTGTAATGAGCAAGGTTTGGTGAAACTTCTTGACTAACTGTGGAACAGATCACCCGTTTCTCATATGTAAGCTCAGGTTGAAGCTGCAAAAATTAAAACAAATTCAGGAAAGTCAACATATGATGTTGAATATATTCCACCTGAATTTTAAGAACAGATTTGATGCCTTGAGCACAAATGACAGAAGAGCTGAAGAGCTGTGGGAGGACATGAAGAACATCATATAAAGAAAGCAAGTGGTGGTTAAAAAGACTAGGCCCACAGAACATTAAGTGGGATGTGTATGTCCTCTTCAGTAAATGGTGTTGGGAACATTGGACATCCACCTGCAGAAAAATGAACAAGACCCATACCTACCCCATGCACAAAACCAAACTCAAGGTGGATCAAAGACTTAAATGTAAAACCCAAAGCTATCAGGATGAGAAAATTGAGACAAGTCTAAGTGCTCTAGTGCAGGGAATGCATGGTCTATCAGAAATAACAAATGAAACACACTCCATGGAAGATCAAATAGACGAGTAGGACCGATTAAAAAATAAACACTTGAGTACATTGAAAGACTAAATTCCCATCAGCAGATGATTAGATAAGGAAATGCTGGTATATACACAAAATGGAATACTACCCATACCTAAAAAACAGTGATAAATCCATGAAACACCTCAAGACGTGGAGGGAACTGGAAGACATTATGCTGATTGAAATTAGACAATCACAAAATAACACATACTGTATGAGTCCACTGCTGTAGGAAAAACAACAAAAGGGACACAGGCTCCAGTCTATTGACTGGTGGGTCAGGCAGTCTGGTAGGGAGCCTGCCTGGTGCCAGCGAACAATACAATATCTGTGCTAGGTGACTTTCATCCTGATATTGAACACCTTAGGTGTCTATGTGGCTACATTAGGTTTATAGCCAGCAATTTCTTATCTCATACCTTTCAGTCTGGAAATAAAGGGGAAACATTGGTCATGTATTGCTAGCAATATACTTGCAGATTATTTATTATAATACATCATTTTAGAGTTTTCCATTGCAAGCATGGTTATCCATTTGCTTAAGAGAGAATTGCATTCTATTCCACACCTGGAAGTGAATGAAATCTGATATCTGAGTGAAGAGACTAAGATAAGAACAAAGAGAATAATGAGAGTTCTTCATTGGTGGAAACCATCTCTGTGTCATGTGTCAAGAACCTAGTGTGACTTCAATCAAGAGCAGGAGGTAGATTGTGGATTAGTGAAGAACTCCTTTTTTCTTTCAAATAGTCTCTTGGGAAATACAGTCTAGTGACATCTTTCCCAGCCCTCTTTTCTCCCAGTTCTTCAGTAAAGAATGGAATTTGATTTTAAAAAAGAAAGAAAGAAAGAAACAAGAATGAAAACATCAAAGTTGATGTCAGAAGAAACTCTGAAACTTGCTTTTGACCATAGAAGAGTGATAACAAATGGAAGAAATGATGACGTAAAATAGCTAAAGAGAAAATTTCAAAGGGCATCTTGAGAAGGCAAAGCATTACAATAAAATGTGCAAATATCTTGAGCTAGAATGCCACATCGTCAGGGAACTTGGATATATGAAGAACAAGGCACCAGGATTAGAGAAAGGTTTATGAACAACCTGTGATCTGCAGATGACACCCCTTGCTGGCTGAAAGTGAAGAGGACTTATGGTGCTTGCTGATGAAGATCAAAGATTCCAGCCTTCGATATGAACTTAAACTCAATGCAAATAAGACAAACATTTTCATAATTGGACCAATAGGTAAAATCATGATAAATGGAAAAAAGGTTGAGGTTGTCAAAGTTCTCTTACTTAAACCCACAGTCAATGCTCACAGAAGCAGCAATCAAGAAATCAAATCATGTATTGCACTGGGCAAATTCGTTGCACAAGGTCTCGTTAAAGTGTTAAAGAACAAGGGTGTCATTAGTTTCTAAAATGTAAATCTTAGGCCACGGTTGCCATCCTATCACAAAATAAGATGATAATTTGTCCAAGAGAACAATGGAATATTTATTTAATAATTTAAGATCATATGAATTATATACTGTTCAATCACTGGAGTTTTAGGATATGCATTCCATACATTTGTTCTGTTCTTTTCATTTTTCAAGTATTATATTGTAATTCCAAGATTCCAACAATCACAAAAGGAGGCTGACGGTGTCATTACTCCACAGCCAGACTGCATCATTGCATAGTCAAATTCCTGAGAATTATGACCAAGCCCAGTTGGTACATAAGCCTAAGCATCATAGACAGTGTTACTCTCACTTAGCCCTTGGAGTTACTGCCAACCCGAACCAAGCTCACTGTCATTGAGTCAATGCCAACTCATAGCGTGCCCAAGCAGGGTAAAACCACCCCTGTGGGTTTCAGAGACTGTAATTCTTTTGGAGAATAAATAATAGCCTTCTCCCTCAAAGAGTAGATAGCAGCTTGCCCATAACCATTATGCCACCAACACTCCTTGCATACATTATTAAAGTGCAAAATAGATAGATTTTCACTCTTGTCGCAAATTAAATAGAAATGAGACAGTCAATAAGGTGTACTATTTTGTAGAGGAACCCAGTGTGCTGAAAATGTTTAATGGCCTAACTGCTCTAGTCCAAATGCTAGCAGTTCACATTCTCTGAGGGCTGCCCCAGCAGAAAGACCTGGTGATTTTCGTCCCCTCAAAATAGCTCTGGGACAGTCCTAGGGAGTGCGATCCCACTCTGACACACATTAGATAGCCCGAGTCAAAATCAGCTAGTTGGCAACTTGTTCTACTTTCAAGAACTTAGATTTGGAAATTGGAAGATGAGGGGTGAGATCATGTCCTTACATGATCGGACCTGCCATGCATGCCATCCTCATGAACAAATGGTACATTTCCACAAGACTAAAACCAGGTAGCACAGGAGGGTGATGACTGAAGAAGAAACAAAAATAGACAAAAGTCTAAATTCTGTCCATCACTTCCCCCAGGTCTCTGCTGTGAAGCACTTTCAGAGTGTTTTGCAAGAAGCGAGAAACCATTTCCTGAGTTGGCACTACCTAGATCCGTGTTTTAGAGACCACGGTAGCCACGAGTTCCTGGGCACATAACAGAGGTGGTCTGTGCTGAGAAAGAGCTCTTGAAATTAGTGTTTGGTTAAATACTCAGTTGGGAAAGCAGAGGCTGGGATTCCGTGAGGTGGGGCTGAGAAGTGCTCCTAAGCAGCAGTGAAGATGGAGGAATTATAAGACCGCACAAGTCTAGGAGTTAATATCTCATAAACAAAGAATATGTTCAGCCAGTCACCATACATGTAAGTCTCAGGAGTATTAACTTTTGAAATGTAGATATTGCCTGTTTATTGAACCAAGTACATGAATTTAAAATTAAGACATACAGATAAATATTTTTGCAAACCTTGTCTTAGCAGTAAGCTAATATTAATTATTATTAAGATTAATGTCTCTAAAGTGAACCAGACACATATGAGAACCATAGATATGTGATTGGATTAGGCTTTTAAGTAATTCAAGCCCCAATCTAAAAACCTCAGTTCTTATGACTTGGCCCTGCTTAATGTCCACTCTCATGAAGAAATCACGGAAGCTATGAATACTATAACAAAGTGTGGCTAAAAATTTAGATGGTGCCCAGCTTTCAGAAAGAATAGCTTCTGGGTCTAAAAGGCTTGTCTTCAAACAAGCAGCCATCTAAGAGCGACATAGCCATGCCCACGTGGAAGAAGCTCACCAGCCTGTGTGATCCAAGGGTTGTAAATAACAAAATCCATCAAAGGGAGGAATGGCATCAGAGCTTAAACTGTGAACACCCAGTTTGCAGAAGGCAACATCCATTTACAGCATCCCCACATTGATTCAGCCCCTCGCAAATCCCCTCTGACCGTATTCAAGTCATGTGAATAGTCTTGTTCAACAACAGAGAGCATGGCAAGTCGCTTAGGGTAGATGTTGTTAGGTTAAGATGTAATATCACTTGATTTCTATTTGACCAGTGGTGGGATTAATATCATTTAACTACTGGTTTGCTGCCCTAGTGACTACTTTAAAGTATAAAAATATGATATAACAAAAGGGAATTTATTATTTCATACAGTTGAATAGGAACAATAAAGAGGTACACAAAAGTAGATTATGCTATAAGTAAGAGTTTTAAAATATTAACAAAAATATTAAGTAATATCTAACCCCAAATAAAAACTGTTATGATATTTCCATATTGCTTCTTGATTCACATCTTCACTTTCAATATGCTTCACTTTTTTTCCAAGTATCGTCGGCTGTGTGGTTTATCCTTAGCCAGTTTTTTCACTAATGGGATCTCATTCCTTTACGGGTAGTCCAATTAGACAATAACCATTGTGCTTGAAATGTTTGAAGCCAGTGAATTCTCTCTGAACCTATTATATTCATCTGTCCACTGCTGCTGCACTTCCAGCAATTGTTCTGACAGTACTTTTAGTTCTTTGAACACTTTCTGTAACTGAATCATTCCTTCATAATGTCTCACGGGAACTGGGGACCTAACACAAAGCTGAAACAAAGGACAGCCTGTCATCCTCTGGTTGTTTGACACTTTTCCTCTTTAGATGAAATGTTTCTTCACTGAGGTAACAAACACAAAGGACTGAAAATGAAGTACTTCATATAAGTACAGTGAGTTTTAAGAAATTAATAATTAAATATGGCCCATAGACCAAATGAACACTACTATGAGAGCTTAGAATAAGCAATTGCACAGATGTACATTAAAAAAGAGTTAGCAAGGTAAATTTGTGATCCTACAGTGGGGTCTGTCCAGCCATCCACCTGAGAGAGAACCCTGATTCACATGCCGCCTCAACAACAGGTTCAGTGGACTCAACAACAAATGAGGTATTGATTCTGCTGAACCAGTGCTACTGGCTGAATCCCCACCACCGCTTTGGACCCATTTTAGAATTGTTTCAAGCGAAGGGGAAGGATAAGAGCGTCAAATCTCTAATTAATCCCCTCCGACCATAAACCAGGGGTGGGAATAGCCTTACGACCCTGCACAGTGCACCGACAGCGGATTAAGAGTCAACACCGATCATTTCATCCCCGTTTGACTCATTTTAAATTCATTGTTTTTAATATTTTCTGCTTTCTTTTTATTGAGGTTTTTCTCCGTTTTACTTTGTTACTGTAGATTTTTAAAAATAGGTTTTTTTTTTTACATTTTTTGTGTATTAAATCTAGGATAGGTAAATTTATAGAGACAGTATCTGGATTAATGGTTTCTTGGGCAGATGGCAGGGGAATTTTGGGGGAAATGGGATCTAATATTGATGAATACAAGAAAGAAGAAAATGTTCTATAATTGATCGTGGTGATGCTTATACAGCTATTTTAACATGACTGAACTATTGAATTATATGCCAATTAAAACAGTAAAAATAATTAATTAATAACAGATTTAATTTTACTCTTGTACTTTAGTTTTATAATAATTTATTGTCAAATGACTTGATAATGAAATATAAACGTTAAACTAGTATTGCTTTAGTAGAAAGGTTCTATCTTCAGAGCTTTTCTCTTTATTTTTGTCTAATATTTCTACCTTCTTCCAACATTTTATTTTGCATAGGTAGGCAAACTGCATACTTGGTACATCCCCTCAGACATAGTTAGAACTAAAATATAAATGCAAAACAAAAGGAATGAAAGCAGGTGGCAAACCTATATCTACTGTGACAATAGTTTCTTTTTTTAAATGATAAAACATAGCGTGGTCTGAGAGAAGTGTGGGTTTACTTACTGTTGGGACTGCACTGGGGAGGAGAGGACCAGCCATCCTCTGTACATGAGATGGTGCCGCCATTATTTGGTAGGTTGTAGCCAGCATCACAGTCTATTTTCACAGTATCGCCTTCCATGTGCGTTTGTCCTGAAGACGCAGAATGGCCATTTTCCACAGAAGGAAAGAAACATAACCCTAAGGGAACAACAACAACAAAATTGTTTTAAAGGGCGGAGTGTTAAAAAATGGGAAACTGATGTTTCACTTTACGTTATTTTGAAAAGAAAAGGAAAATATTAAAACTTAAATAATTAAAAAAAATAATTTTGCTTATAGCCCTTGAGGCCAGCTGATCTCAAAGTTGTGTTTCAAGTATACCAGCTGAAAGAAAGATGAGTCTGTCTTGCTCCTGTGAAGGTTTATAACTTTAGAAACCCATATAGGGTTGCCATGAGTCGGAATGAACTTAGTTGTAATGGGTTTCAATGGGACCATGTATCTGAGGAGCCCTGCTGGTGATGTGATTTAATTGTTGGAGTACTGTTCTCGAAGTTGGCAGTTCAAATACACCAGCTTCTGTCTGGGATGTGTGTATATGCACCCATAAATATTTGCAGTTTTGAAGCCCTTGTAGGGATTGCCATGAGTTCGAATCTACCAGATGGCAGTGGATTTTCTTTTTGGTGTATTTTATGATGTATGTACACATATTGAAATACATATGTGGCTTTAGATAGTTAGTTCCCAATTTAGGACATGGTTGATTTATTACAAATCACAGTTATGACTATTTTTTGGGATACATCTGATTTTTAATAATATGCACTATTATCAATGTTATAGCATATTATTGTTGATGTTATCATTCTCAGATGATCACTCACAGATGTTCAATGTTATGGTTTACTGTTCATAACTTGTACAGTGATGTATTAGGATATATTCTGAAGAGAAAAAACATACTGAAGGAAAAAATAATGATGAAGAGTTGCAAAGGAGTTGTCTAGAATTTTACAGTGAAAGGATTAAAGACTTTTTCTAAACTCAATCAGGGACTTCTGCTGCTTGGGCATGAACTCACATGCTAAAAATTTTGCAAATGTCAACATGCAGATTCAGGAAGCCGTGATATTTTACCAAAAAGTGTGGGGAAAAGGGAAGGGCACCATACACACAACTCTTGCTTTTTTCCACACCAGGAACTCTATCCTCATTACCGGAGATCATCCAGATTACTGAGAATATTCCACAAAAAAAAAATTTTTATTACAACTGAGAAAAATGTAAACAATGTTCAATATTTCTTCATTGTTGGAGTAAATTTTTAACATTTGTGTGTCTCTCTGTATGTTTGGAAATATATTTATAAGATTATATGTAATGTTTCTAATACCAAAAGACAAATAAATATTAAATGTATAAAGATATTCATAATAAAAGGCAATAATACTAATAGTAAAACATTCAATTTCCTTCTGAACCAATTTATGAAAGTCATTGGAAGGAAAGTCTGTTGTGAGTTGGGCACTACCTGTATGTTGTTGTTGCTGTTGTTGTTAAGTGCCATTGAGGGAGCTCCAACTCGTCGTGCACAACAGAAGGAAACGCTGCCAGGCTGCGCCATCCTCACAGTCATGGCCATGCTTGAGGCCAATGTTGCAACCACTGCGACAGTGCATCTCCTTGAGAATCTCTCTTTTTCACTGCCCCTTTATCTTCTTTTGATGCTTCCTGCATCCATCAATATTTTGCCCATAGACTCTTTTAATATTAAAATTTCAGGACTGAATTAATTTTGAGTTCTTCCAGTTTAAGAGATATAGAGCGTGTTCTTCATTTCTGGCTTTCTAACTCTAGGTCTTTGCACATTTCATTGTAATATTTGACTTTTTCTGCTCAAGATGCCCTTTAAAATTTTCTATTCAGGTCTTTGTTTTCACCTTTCTTCCACTTGCTTTAGCTACTCTAGATTAAGAGAAAATTTCAGTCTCTTCTGACATCCATGTTGATTGATCTTCCTTTTCTATCTTTGTAATGATCTTTTGCTTTCTTCGTGAATAATGCTTTTGATGTCCTCCCACAGCTTATAAGGTCTTCTTGCAGTATTGTTTATTGCATCATATCTATTTCTGAGATGTCCTCAAAACTTGAATGGGATATACTCTAGGTCAGTGGTTCTCAACCTTCCTAATGCTGTGGTGTTGTGGCAGTTCCTTATGTTGTGGTGACCCCCCCAAGCATAAAATCATTTCCAATGCTACTTCATAACTGTAATTTTGCTACTGTTATGAATCTGGCGACCCCTGTGAAAGGGTCATTCGACCCCCTCAGGGGTCACGACCCACATGTTGAGAACCACTGCTCTGGGTCATATTTTGGTTTTCATGGACTTGTTTTCCTTTTCTTCAATTTCAACCTAAATTTACATTTGAGCACTTGATGTCTGTTCCACAGTGGACCCCATACCTGGTATTAGATGCTGATATTGAGCATCTCCATCCCTTCTTCTCACTGGTCAGTTAGATTTTTGTGCATTCTTCTAGAGAAGTCCACATATAGCAAACTTTTGTGTTGCTGAAAAAGGTATTCACGATGAAGAAATCACAGTTCCTGTAAAACTACCACTGGATGTCATGTTTGTCTCTATCACCATGACCAGAGTTTCCAACTATTGTTGCCTCCTCTTTATTTCCAACTTTTATACTCCCATTGCCAATAATTATCAATGCATCATGATTGCATATTTGATCAAGTTCCATCTGCAGACGTTAGTAGAATTCTTCAATTTCTTCATCACTAGCTTTTGTGGTTGGTGCATAAATTAGATTAATAATAGTGCTGTTAGTATTTTCTTGTATGTGGATAGATATTATCCTGTCACATAGAGATTTTACTTCAACATAGATCTTGAAATAACCTTTTTGACAATGACTATAATGCCATTCCCCTTGATTGTGTCACTCACAGCATAGGAAACCATATGATTTTGTGATTCAACGTGAACAACACCAGTCCATTTCAGCTCCTTAATGCCCAGCATATCTATCTTTATGCATTCCATTTAATTTTCAGTGACTTCCAAGTATTTGCATAGAAATTAATATTCATGCTGCTTTGCTATATTTTATAGAAATATTTTGTTGATAAAGCATTCTTATATGGAAAACAACAAATCAATATGTACATTTCTTACATAATTATTCTAAATGTCTCTTGTAAGTGAAGTAAAACTATTATTAACTCTTGCATACTCATATTGTGCTTCCCATTCTTTTTTCTATGTCATCAATTGAGTATTCAACAAAAGATTAAGACAGATTCAATTTTGAGTACTTGGGGAAAAGAATACATTTTGCATGCTCCTCGCAATTAACTTTTAAGACAGACTGTGGGGTGAAGTACCTTTTAAGGAGAAATATTTTTATGTTGCTTCCAGACAAATGTTAGGGCAGAAACATGAATACTCATATATATTCAGTGAAGCTGGGTTTATATAAAAAAGAACGTGGCATCACAATTGCAGCAACACTTATTAACAGCCTGTGGTGACACAACCCTGCTTGCTGAAAGTGAGGAGGACGTGAAGCACTTGCTGATCAAGGATTGTAGCCTTCAGTATGGATTATGACTCAGTGTAAAGAAGATCCACTTCCTCACAGCTGGCCTAATAGGTAACATCCTGATGAACGGAGAAAAGGTAGAAATTATCAAGTATTTTGTCTTGCTTAAAACCACAATCAATGCTCATGGAAGCAGTCTTTAAGAGATCAAAAGGCCTGTTGCATGAGGTAAAATGTGGCACAAGTACTCTTCAGAATATTGAAAATCAAGGATGCTAGTTTGAGGACACAGGTGCAGCCGGGCCAAGCCTTGGTATTTTCTATTGTCTCATATACATGTGAAAGTTGGTCGCTGAATAGAGAAGACTAAAGAAGAAAAATGTGTTTAAATTGTGCTGGTGAATAATATTGAAAATACTATGGACTGCCAAAAGGACTAACAGATCGGCTTGGATGTGAGGCTAGAGAGACTTCATCTCACACACTTTGGGCATGTTGTCCTGAGAGTCCAGACCCTGGGGAAGGACATCCTGCTTGGCAAAGCGGAGGAGCAGTGAAAAACAGGAAGGCCCTCAGGAGATGGACTGACACTGTGGCTGCGACAAGCACAGGAACATTTGTGGGGATGGCGCAGGACTGGGCCGTGATTTTTTTCTGTTATGCATAAGGTCAGTATGCATGTGGGCCTGAATCAACTAGATGGTATCTAACAGCAGTAAATTTAAAGTGTCAATATACAGAACATGATAGATAATAAAAGCAAGTGCATGTAATTTACTTTTGATTCTGTTTTCATAAAAAAGAACTTCACAGACGAAGGAACTACATTTGGGAACTTTGCCAGGTTTTCTAGTCCCTAACCCAAAGAATGCCTGTCAAGACCCTGTGGGCTAGTCCAGTGTTGTTGCTGCTGTCTACTTGGTGGAAACTCATATTAACCTGGATTGTCTCGTGCAGTCACTGAATGATTCAGCCAGGCAATGGTCAGGACATTTACTTACTGAAGCACTTAGGCGTTGGCAACCATCCATTCGCAGTGCAGGTAATTGGAGACCAAAAGGATCTTGTAGGAGACACAAAGCTGTATTTGCAGGAGTAATATAAGACTTTTCCCACAGGAGCACTTGGAAAGTCTGGTGTATATTTGTTTTCATCATATACTATTCCATGCTTTACATTTGGAAAATCACAAAACTCCACTGTAGAAAATATAACAAAAGTGAGGAATTAAATAATTTCCTATATTAGTGAATAATTGTGTCATATTTTATTTATTCATTAGTGATTTTTCTTTTATTTAGATTAAATACTTCCACTGTACTAATTAATCAGGAAAAGAATGAGCTCTAATTAAGAGATGAGTAATTTAAGAGTACATTGCCAAGGAATACTGGAAATTCTACTTACCTAATTGTAATTTCAGTATAGTACTGCTTTTAAAGAATTACTCTTCTCCCCACTTGAAAAACAAACAAACAAACAAACAAACAAACAAACAAACAAACACAGTGCTTGCAGAAGTTCTGGCACAAAACAATTACCAAGGGGAATTTTCCTTTTATTTTCATATTACACGGTGGTAATGTTCACTGCTGCACAATATTTGAAACTAATTAATTCCTATGGCATTTGACCTTGTACAAACGGAAGCAGTTTATTGAACTGTTTACAGTTAGAGACCAGATAGCTTTGCACAGGAGAGTGACAGCACAGACTCCAGTGGGCACTGGCAGGGTTTACTCCCAGGAGCCTTTTCAAACAGCTCTAGGCTCCAATCAAATGACAGTTCTTGATTTCCACACGTTACTGCCTGCTGCTTTCTTACACCCAGAATAACTTTTCTCCCAATCCTCCAAGTAGCTCCATTTTACTCATCAGTCCAAACTCATTCTACAATATTTATCAAATATTCACCGTACTGATCAGTCAAGGTGCAAGCTATAAATGTCAATTTTCTTTTTTATCCAAGAACCCACTCAAGGGCAGAAAGGATTTTGTGTTGCTTCTCAGTTTTCATAGAATGCTCTGAGTAAAAGTCTATCTCTAGCCTTGAATTGATCTCCTTGGTTACAAGTCTGATTTCCTCCTGGAACAGCATAGGCTGCAGTGAGACATGGTTGGAGGTTTCTTCTCTTTTACACTCTCTTTGCTGTTGCATGAAGCATAAGATATTGTTTGACCAATATTTTGTTTCTGAAAACATGTAGAGTTGTACCCCAAAATATTATCGTAGTGGCTTGTGTTTGTCTTAGAGGCAGTCTCACCTAAGTGCAGTGAAAACTTAAGGGCAATTTAATGCCTAGCTAACTTATGGAAAGAAATTTTCTGAAGAGGCCAGTTTGCAGCTTGAATATAACTTTCTGGGTTAGTGGTAGCCAAGTTGCTACATATTTTTCTTCTTCACTTTAATGTTTATCTTCTTTGTCCCACCCTCCAGCCCCATTTAGAATTCCCTTTATAATAATGTCTCTAGCAGATGTCTATACCATATAATCCACACCAAAAGTGTAGGGGGAAAGAAACATAATACACCTGTAAATATAGTTTTTAAGTGAGTGTTCTGTGAAGACAGCCCTCACTGTATGATATAAAGGGAAAATTCATAAAGCCTTTGAGCCAAACTGACTAGTTGAATTAACATTGTTCTTCTCCTTCCCTGTCTGCCTGGGAATCCAGGTGGGCTTGGTTGCTGAGTCATGTGCTAATGAGCTCTGTCCACTGCTGGCCCAGCCAATTCGACACAAAACTTTAACTCTCAGAAAGCCACGCAAACTAAAAACAAAACAGAGCAAATCATCACACAGCTTTCTTTTGTAAAAAGTGGGTCCAAGAAATATTTCTTCCCAACAAGAGTGTAATAAAGAAAATTGTTTAAAAGGGTTTGGGATCGGACTTATCTAAAAATTTCCAAGCAACTTCAAGGAATTTTATTTGACAAGCTATCTCTGGGAAGTGAGATTCTGGTACCAATGTAACTTTCATACATTTCTGGTTAAAACAACTGCTATTTGATATTTTATGATTCCACTTGAAGAACAGGTGAGTATGACTATATTTCATGAGTTCCTGAAATCAACTACTATGCATTTCTATAATCAGTAGCTATGCAATAGAAATCTTCCCCACCACTAACTCATCCCCATTGTGATAGTTTTAAAAATTGATCTATAATTAACATTGATCTATAATTATCATACAATTCAATGGTTCAATCAGGTCAAGAAGGACTGTGCATTCATCCTCAGAATCAACTTAGCATCTCCCCTCCCCCTTCTTTTTACATATTGAAGTCGATGGTCATTTCTCCCACTCTCTACCTCCATGTCCCCAGGTAATTATAAATAACATTATTATCTTTATATTTCCATCAATCATAGTTACTATAAGTGGATAAGTATACAAGATTAGGTCAGACACCAAACAAGAGTCCATTAGCAATGGCCATATAAAACCAGTAGAGACCTCAATCTACCAGAAAGCAGAGAATATGAAAAGTTTAGAATACATTTTCATTGGTCTCATAAGGAGATCCTATTATAAGGCATTGCATTCTTGCCTCCCTACAGTCGCTAACATCCCCTTTACAATGCTTGATGATTTGGGGGTTATTGTCATTTCAAGCCAATGTGTATTGGGGAGTCATTTGAGACTCATCCCTTATAGTGGCCTTGTAAATGGGTTTTGACCTACCTCGATCTTGCATTGTTTTCTGTGATTTAGATATTTAGAATTGGGCCACTGGTATCATTCCCTTTTCTGGGTATGGATCTTATTAATAGTTATCTTTGGATGCTGACAATGTTTCAAATTTATGCATAAGGCTTTCACATGCAAGAAACATTTTTCTGAAGATCAGCTGACATCAGTGTACTTTGTACAGTACATCGACAGGGAGCTGCCAGAGGGTCAGTCCAGATTCAGAAGAGGATCTGGAGCAAAGGATATCATTGCTGACATTAGAAGGATCTTGGCTGAAAGCAGAAATTACCAGAAAGGTGTTTACTTGTGTTTTATTGACGATGCTAAAGCATCCGACTATGCTAAGTCATGACAAATGGAGAGTAGGTTGAAATTGTCAAGGATTTTGTCCTGCTTTGATTGACAGTGATTGCTCACCGGAGCAGCAGTTAAAAGATCAAAAGATGCATTGCACTATGCACCTATATACTCGAGTATAAGCCTATCCGAAATTTTCAAACTAAAATTTTGAAAATTTTAGTTTGAAAATTTCAAACTAAATTAATTTAAAAATTTCGGGTTGGCTTATACTTGAGTATATATAGTAAGTCTGCTCCACAATATCCCTTCAGTAGGTTGAAAAGCTAAGAAATTACTTTGAGGAATAAGTTGCACTTGGCCCAAGCCATAGTATTTTCAATCATCTTAAATGCATGTGAAATCTCAAATGCATAAAAAAACCAAAGGGGGAGGGGAACAAAGAATCAATGCCTTTGAATTTATGGTGCTGAAAAGGCTATTGAAAGTACCATGGGTTGCCAAAAGAACAAACATATGTTTTGGAATAAATACAACCAGAAACACCCTTAGAGGAAAGGATGACAAGACTTTGTCTTACACACTTTGGACGTGGTGTCCAGAGGCATCTGTCCCTTAATAATGAGGAATCGTGCTTGGTAGAGGAGCACTGAAAAGAGGAAGACCCTCAACACAACAGATTGACACAGTAGCTACCCCAATGGGCTTCAGCAAAGGAAAACTTGTGAGGCTGGCCCAGGACCGGGGAACGTTTAGTTCGGTTGTGCATGGAGTAGCTGTGGGCCGGGTCTGGTCCCATGGCATCTAACAACCTCTTTGGATTAACCAATCAAAATATGGGGTGATAATGTCTTTGTTTTTTGGCCTTTATCTGTCTTTGTTGGAACTTGTTAATTGCAGCCATCCATCCTCACTTATGAGACCAGTGTCTAATTGCAGTCGAATGTCCCAGTTTTCTTTTTCTGAGTAAATCATGTTTTAAAATTTTACCTTTTTATTGTGAACTGGCTGAAGGTTTACAGAAAAGATCAATTTTTCCATTCAGGAATACATACGCATTCTTTTTCATAGCATTCATTGCAAACCCCACAATGCTACCTCATTTATCCCATTCCTTCTTGTTTTCTGCTCTCATTTCTC